TTTTTTTAAGTTTTTACTAGTTATGTTTCGCACCCACCAGGACCTAGTTAACCAGAGAACAAAGAACGCCAGGTGAGTGAGTTGACCATTTCACCCACTCGGGATGGTGTGCGGTCGGGCGAGATCGCCGCAACTCCTGCCACAGAAGGCGGCGCAACTGCCGATCCCCATGCGACTGTTGGAGTCATATCGACCAGTGAACCAGCAGATAAGACCTGATTGGACAAATGCAATGCCTGCATTCGGGGACGGAGTATTTCATGGTGTGCTTCTCCAGATTTTAGGACGATCAATACGGAGTACATATCTCTTACAGCGGGCAACCGCAGTTCAAGGTTTTATGCATTGTCTACCTCTATGAGCTGGCTCCCGCTCTGGTCGTCTGCGTGCCACCTAGAAGTTGTCTATACGAACCAGCGATCCGAGCGCGAGCCTGCAGTCATCCCGCCGGATATGAACAATCATCACACCTAATCACAATAAGTCTCTGGTACGATTTGTGGCTGTAGGGCTAGAAGACCCCTACCTTGAGGTGTAAGCAATGGTGGCTTAAACCGAGACACTATTGTATTGTGCATATTGGGCGCCCAATATGGCCGGCGCCATTATAAGAGGCGTTTGCTGATTTAGTAATAACAACTTCTTTCTTTCTATTCTCGTATCCCTTCCTTACCACAGAATTACCCCCATTATTAAGGGACGCAACAACTCGAACTGAGCAAAGGTAAAGGGAATAAAAAAAATTTTGCCCGTAGTCTCCACCCACATGGATGCTGCCATTTTTCGAAGACATGACACACATCCCGTAATATCCCCAACCCTTAGAAAGAAATTTTCCATCACCCCTAACCATAAGCTCCCAATGTACGGAGTACACCACATTTTCTTTACACTGCACCTCTTCACACTAATTAGTCTATCCCTTGCCTACAACAACAATCTCCACCTCCTTAGCTCCATCGTAAAGCCCAGGCCCCGAATGTTTAATCAAGATACTCCGCAGTCAGATGATCTCCTAACTGGAATCCCATTGCTCAATGATCCTCTTTAAAATTCTGCACTTTGTACGGCTGGTCTCACCCAAATCAGTAACTTTCCCTCAATCAACGACAAAATAATTTTATCTAAATATGATGAGGCACAACTTGTGCTTTTTCAGACAAGCACATGGTCACCCCGAAACCGCCATTAAAAGGCAAACTGGCACACACAGTAATACGGCGCTGTTACTATAGATCTGAGCATGGCCTTCAACTACTTTCCTCCCTGATTTTCCCCCTTCTCACCCTTTGGTAGCGCGTTGCTTCGATTATTTCTTCGTCTTACCACCTGTAGTTACTGTACTTGTGTCCGCAACAAATTCCTGTATCATACTACCGTTATCTGTACGTATTCGTACAACATATTAGTTCACATTAGCGACTAGACATAGCACATCTTTTCAAAGGTAGACATTCGAGAATAGTGTCTATTGGACAGGTCACATCAGATCATACCTCAACTTTATACATAACCGACGAAAGATTTCCTCGCCTCGTCTAGATCTCATGATTTGCGGAGAGTTCCAAAAACACATACTAACACAGAGCACAGTCATGTGGTTCTGACGATGTACGTGGGTGGCTTGGGTATTGTCTAATTGATAACCGTGGGCTTACTGCACCTGTTGACATTTTTAATGTAACGCAAGATCTTCCATCTAGTCTAAATATATTCACTATATGTGCGACCAAATAAAGCTTGAACATACTAGTCCGGCAACGTTTGTCATACAAAAAGTCTCTATGACCTCATAGCCCCAACCGTTCTATATCTATAATCAAGATAAGTGCAGTCATATCCCAAGATAGCCATGACAAAGGACATCCACTCAAGGACACGTGGGAGGCTTCCACATAGCCTGCTTCATCATGTCCTTGAGTTTTAAGCCATCGATACGGTTCACATAGGTGACATTGCGTACGCCCGGTGGCTTAAGCATGGCCTGGTAGACATGGATGTTTCCGTAATTAGGACTTCCATAAGAGATATCGACATCGATATAGGCTACCAACCAGTTAGTAACGTCACTCCCTGTTGAGAAATACAGAATCCAGACATCTCACTTACCAGTAGTAGTATTAGTAGCAAGAGACCGGTCAACCATGAGGGCAGCCGCAGTCTCATCCCAAAAAGGAAACTCAGTGCCATAGTGGTTATGGAAGAGCTTGGTATACTCATTCTTGACCGTGTAGACCTCATCGAGGTACTCTTGTGTTGACTGCACCTGATTGGCCACGTTCCCAGTAATAATGATCTCGGGAAATTCTGCATTAAGAGCAATTTTCGCAGCTTCCGGGTCGATCATCAAGTTGATCTGTAGTTGTTGTTACTTAGCTTATCCTTGGAGTGTGGGTTAGTACACCTACATCGGAGTTGATGTCCGCCTGCAAATAATCACCCGTGACCTGATACATATTCACATCCACGTAGCCTCCCATGATGACCAGTTCCTTGGTCAGGGAAGCGAAATCGGGATCCATTCGCACAGCTAAGGCGATGTTGGTCAACGCCCCGGCGGAGTAGATGGAGACTTGATGCGGATATTTGTGGACCATCTCAACCATGAAGTTGGCGGCAGACGTGGAGTGGTTGATCTTAGTAGTTGGGAACCCCTCAACAAAAGCGGGCTTGACGATCCGATTTGGATCCCCTGATGTTGGGTCATTACCGAGTGCTTCTGCTGTTGCATTCTCTAGAGCAAAAGCGCCCTCCCAGGGGAGTTTGCCGTGCACGCTTTCCCATGCCTGGAAGCGCTCAGGTGTATTGATTAGGGGATAGGTGGCGCCCGCATAGACTGGTATGCAGCTGAGGTTCCCGAGCTCTAAGTTGGCTAGCGCATGATATGCGCATTGACGCTGCCAGGAATTGGCAGTATCTAGAAGAGTGTTAGAGCAGTGGCTAGTACTGTATAAGAAAACACGAGGAGCTCACCGGAGACTAGCCCCAGAACCTGGACGTCGCTCTTGAGTGCGATCAAGAATGGAAGAAAACTAACGGCCCCCCAGTCGTTATCCAGGATAGCATATCTATTTCCGGGTTGGCTGACGGGTGAACCCAAGGCCATGGAAAGAAAGAACAACGATGAAAGAGAGCGAGTGGGCCACATCTTTACAGAAGGGGCGTTTGAGCCTCAGGAATTGAATGATTTCTCTGCACGACGGCTCGGGTTGCATTTATATGCTTGGTAATTGTGATGGTGGGTCAGGCTCAGCCGGACTGCTCTTCACTGGATTCCGGCCATGGACTTAACCGTCACCCTATCGTGCACCATAGCACCTATCGGCTTTTCGTCACCACACAATAGCCTTCGTTGGTTGTGACCCTAGCGGAGAGAAACGGTGAGTATAGATAACGATCAGCGTCCACATTTCCTATGCGGGTAGGTGTTCGCGGGTGAAGTTTTTCTAAAGTAATGAGCAGATGTCTTTCCCCTGAATTCGATGGTCAATTAGAGCCAGCGCAGAGAACATCATAGTGGTAACTTATTGACCATTTAATTATATGAAGAATATCTTACCTCCTGTCCTTGAATTTGGTCGTAGTAAGGCGTAATGGTATCATAGCATATCTCCCAGAGCGTGATTCGGAGACACGAGACTGGAGATAAGACTGCTGATAAACAGACTCGGCAGTGTCTTATCTTCACTGGAGGAGCTACCGGCAATGGTGCCACGGTAAATGAAAGTGGCGCCTCGGAGTTATCATCTAGTCACTGGTTCCACTGCTTTTTGTCCCAAGAACTTAACGGCTTATCAAATATGGCAGGCTTGGAAAATAGGAAGTCCAGATGCTCGTGTTCAATACAAGTAAACCAAAAGACTGTTACCCGTTTAATAGGGAACGGACATCACTATAATGTCGAACAGGCTTCATTCAGATCTGAGCGGGGTTTTGAAAACACTGTCAATATAAAAATAGGGTTTTGGGGGCTGCGATCAACAAGGCTTCCCCGCCACCCGAGGAAATACTGGGTATCATTTTAAGCTTGAGCAGGAGAAGTATAAGGAGGGCGTTGGTGAAGCCAAAAGGGAATACAAAAGGAGGGGAGGAGAAGAAAACACAGGTGAACAGGGATGACAGATATTCAGACTACCCAACAGGGCAAAGGGCTGTGGTTGCAAATGTAAACAATCCGGAAAAATAAGAGAAAAAGAAAATGAAATAAGGATAAAGATGAAAGACTGGGAAAGATAGGGCACCATCACCGAAGACTCCACTAGACCTGCTAAAGAACCCATTAAAAGCCAAAGAAGGAAAAAGAGAAGGGGAGGGGGGGGGGGGAAGAAAAAAAGAATAAACGCCCGCAATGCTAGGGAAGACCACTCTCAGACATAAGTAACCCAAAATAAAAGTACCCTTCGCTTTTCCCATGCAAAGTGAGATTGGTAATCCCCAGTCCGATATAGAAGTTTTCATAGCCCACAAGATGCACTGTGGAAAAGGTGACGAAAATGTTGAACTCGAAACGATCGGGAAAAGATTGTATAAAGCGTTCAATGGCGTAAAAGAGTGACATGGAATATATTTCATCACTCCGCATATTCTTCGGTCGAGTGACTGCTGGAAGATGTCGGGGATTGCTTCTGACTCAAGTTACAGGTTGGATGGGCATGGATATTGAGATTACGAACCGAGGACTCTCCTGTGTTCAGGTTTTCATTTTCTTTTCCGCTGCTGTCGGTCTCAGTTTCAGTGCTTTCACTGCCCTTTGTTCGATGATGTAAAGCGCGTAGTGTAAGCCCGAGTTCCCGCTCCAGCTCTTTTTGAGAGGGCAGATTCTCTTTCGTTCCATTAAGTTTCTTTCTATAAGCTCGCAGTGTACGGCAGACTTGTTCGGTAGACATGTTAAGGCTTCCGAACTCAGTCTTTCCGCCATACCTAGTACGGGATCGGATGTCTAATGGTGAGCGGTGATTGCTGTGGCTTAAGTGGCTGGTCTTTTTCGCGGGGGTTGACTTGGGACTAGGAGGTGACGGTGTCCTACGTGATCTCTCTAGACGCGAGCTAGAGCGTGCTGATGCTGGTGTCGGTGTCGGCGGTGTAGCGTCTCCATTCTTGGTCGACGAGGGCGCAAGAGAAAGTTTTGACAGTTTGCGTATGAGTGGCGGAGATTGCTCGCGCGTCGGTGTGGAGGACCCTGTCCCATGCTCATGTCGAAATTCGGCAAGTTCATTCTTTGATAAGATCTTCCGTATAGGAGGTCTAGAAAGGGTCATCTCCTTTGCACCCTCATCTTCCTCCTTTGACGTGGTTCTGGTGATTTCTTGCGCTTGGAGGGGCTGCACCGAAATGTTCCACATCATCACAACACCGTCCATACCTGAGCTTATCAATGTGCGTACGACGGTTCGACTGGACGGATCAGGGTTCCTTTCCAGCAACTGCACGTCACTCACACCCTCTGTATGGCCGAATTCACCAGTGAGTAATACACCTCGGTCCAAGTCATACACACGTATCGACTTATCAGTGCTGGCCACTCCTATTAATAGCTTGGGACTATGTCCCAAGATTTCCCCAGCTACTGTCAATGCACCCATTACCACCGCATCATTGGAATCGGAATCGACAGCTCGGATAGAATTCAGATGACGACCGGACGGTATCTCATATTGGTGTACACATCGGTCTGCCGTGGATATGACAAGGACATCTGTGTCATCTGCGGACAAGGACATAGAGACCGGGGACGATTTCAATGTTATGACTTTGGAAATCATGTAAGCAATCGAAACACCCTCATCGGCCTCTCGGGTCACACGCTCCCTAATCAGTACCGTGCGATCAGCAGAGCATGAGAGAAGGATTTCCCCATCGTTGATAAAAAGAACCTGCCCCACAGCGCCTACGTGGTCATCCATCGTTTGGACTAACTTTAGGCTGTCTTCTGTTATCTGAAAAAGCTGTACCATGCGGTCACGGCCGCAACTGGCGATGAGACAAGAGTCGAAAGCTGTGCTCAACGCAATACCAGTGACTTCGGCTCCATGAGCTCGGACTTGATTCATGCACTTCCAAGACTGTCCTTCTAGCACTCGTAATACACCGAATTTATCGCCAGAAACGAACACATTCATCCCGTCGCTGGCCCTCACTACCCTCAATTCATTTGAGGCTTCTTCATCTACACCCGGAACTTCCTCCAAAGGAATGACTCGAGAACCCCGGCACTTGCCAAGAGTGTCCCAGAAGTTCACTGTGCCATTACATGACCACGTGAAGAAGTCGGCCTCCAGGTCATTCGGTACCTTTAATGGACCGATCCCAAGCACAGCATCTCGATGAGCAGGCATAGTGGTCTCCACGTGGCTCTGTTCATCCTCCACGGCATCAAACGGGTAGATATGGATAGCTCGGGTCGTATCAACTGTAACTATGTGGGTTGTCAGAGATCCCATGCATGCGATAGCAGGCCCTCTGCATTTCTGTTCCTCGGAGGGCGTTTCAGAAAGGCCAGGCGACAAGGGGGCAGCAGATGATTGTAGAACCTCAAATGGGAATCTCTGCATTCGCCTGCCTCGACCGCCAGCCCATACACAGGAACGATCCGAGTCCACCATCAAGGACGTGATGCTGAAACCCACGTTCTCCACCAGAGTTATTTTCTGAGAGCCCTCTGCGTCACTGAGAAAACACAGCGCACCCGTATCCGTGCCTACCACGGCCTCATGGTCAGAAACGCTTGCCACACTTGTAAACGTGCTCTCTGCCAAAGACCCCAGTAAACAGTTTCTTCCAGACAGTGCTCGCGGAGCAAAGCTAGGTGAGCTAGGGGCGGATTCCATGTTGTGGCGAGTCTTAGTAGGCGATGCAGGCCTTGTTTCTGGCAGTCTCCAGACTTTGACGTGTCGAACTCCCACCCTAAATATGATTTAGTCCCCCTATCATGTCATTGAATTGTCTGGAGAGACCTACGTGATCAAAGTTTGGCCCATGAAACACATGTCCCGTATCGAAGACGTGCATTTGTTGGTTAAATGGAGCTTTGCGGCGCCACTTTTCAGACTGACCGACCAAACAAACAGAAAGCCGTCATTAGTGTCACCAAGCGTAGCCAGGTACTGGGAGTCACTGCTAAAAGCAAGCCCGCGGACGCCGAAGGTATGTTCAGTAAGAATTGACAGCGGAACATCGGAAGGGGCGTCTTTGGCAGTTGAGTAGATCAAGACTCTAGGGCCATATCCAGTCTAGAAGAAGATCAGTAAACCCTGTACTATTAGTCAGATGGGATGTTTAAACCACGCACCTCGCCCACAGCAAGGAATCTCCCGTTTGGGCTAATTGAAACACTTGTAACTGCTTTTACTCTTTCTCGTGAAGACCAGGCGCGGCTGCTGTTACTTTCTGCCAACTCATTCGCCGGTGAGCCGCTGAGAATGGCGTTATGGGCTGTGGACTTAACGCCTGATAACGGCCTGGTGCGAGTATCTGGTGTGCTTGGAGGAGTAGATTGATGGTAGAACGAAGTGACAGGGTGGACGCTCGAGGCAGAGGGGCGTGCTCGGAAGAAGCGTTGATTCACATTGCCCGCCTCGTCTAATTCAGCTAGGATGGCTGCTGAACCCGCGCAAATGGCAAACGATTTGCTCTGGTCATGACTGGAAAATCCATGGGGAGAAGTTGTAGTCGTACCGATCACGGTCTGTAGGGATAAGGTTGCCTGGTGTTGCGGTGCTTTGTTGGGAGTCCGCGGGGGTCTTAAGCCTGGAGAATTGGTGGGTGTGATTCGGAGGGACGAGCCTGCGCCAACTGCTTTGCCTTTGGCGTTCAACGAGTTGTACGCCATGACCAGTCTGGGATGGATCTGGTCACAATCATTCAAAAACTTCGATGGACAAAGACTCAAATTTTAAACGTATGTCTCGACTAGGATTTTGGTCGCGCTTTGGGCTGGTAGCTTTCACAAGCTATTTCGGTGCCATTCAGTAATTCGCAACCAGAAGAAACCAGAGAAAACAAATAGGTAAGAATATGTTTTCTTGCTTTGCAGCAGTAAGCCTCTCGATTATAGTGATGATAGACTGAACTTGGCCGGAGAGGCGTTTTGTGGGTGATAGCACAAATGTGGGAGGGGTGAAGGAATGACCGAGCTCGGGGAGCCCAGAAAGAAGCTCAGTCGATGTGGACCGGGTATAAAGGAGCGACCAATAGGTTGGAGTGGGAAGGGAGAAAGAGGGAAGAAAAGACCAAAAGGCGAAAAGAGAGATTAGCGAAGGTACGGAAGACTGGAGGTAGATATGAAGCTAAAAGGAATGAAAGCAGAGAGCACAACTGCGTATGTCCGTCAGTAAACAAGGTGTTTTTGCGGCATTCCAGCGGGCGGAGAATATCCCAAGGAAACCAACTCACGAGACGAATGATGAATGAATAAATGAAAGAATGATTGGCGAATCTCTCTCAGCCCTTAATCCTTGGCACAGAGAGAGGATCTGACAGAGGGAAAGAGACGAACCTTTTAGCTCTCGAGCTAAGGGTATCTTAAGATCCATCAACTAAAAGGGAGATCATTTACTTGAATGAGACTTCCTTTTGTTCTTTATTTGGGAGATGACAACCCTAAACTCCTTTGGGCGAGTACCGCCAATTTTAAGTTCATCTGGAAAGAAGTAAATTAAATGAAGGGCCACCTCCATACATACGGGAAATCCTCCGGAAGGGAAGAGGGAAATTGGCTAATTTTGAACCTAGGTCTGAAAATGAAAAACAAAAAAAGAAAAACCAGAAAGGAAAAGAGAGGGAAGAAAAAAAGGAGCATGTTTGGCTGGGCACCAAGCGCTTGAACTCCCCCTGTGGATCAGTCACAGAGCACCAAGTGGTCTAGTCTTCTAGTTAGTCTCATATTGGATGTGGAGATGCCAATCATTCTTCCCAGAATGGTAATTCAGGGAATCCTTAAACAAAACCCCCGTTCGAAACTTCGAATATAAAAGGGAAAGGATAATCCTTTCCACCATAAGCCATGGCAACACTTCAGCGCTTCTCTGACGCAAGGACAGCTGGTGAGGGATGATAGGGGACACAAGATGTAGGTAGGATATGTTCACTATATTACAGCTGAACAGCAGCTGTATAAACAGTTGGCGCGTGTATGATAGGATTGAGCCTTCGAGCAATACTGGTGAGCTTAGGATAGGATTCTCTCTTTCCGCTCACCTGTGGTAAGCAACAATTTTGAGAGCTCTGAACTAGAAATACAGGGGTTAGGATTTTACGGCAGAAAGTGCCCCGTAATTGATGTTTGATGAATTAAGGTCTATTCCTTATTTGCCAGGGCCTCCACGGAGGTCCATTTGTGAATCACATACATATTACCCTTGCGTTTATGGGGATTGAACTTTATTTTCTGTTACAGAATCATTAAGGGCTCCTTTTGTATCTGATATATTCTTCCCAAAATCCAACGTCATTCTAATCGCTTTCCGATAAGGTCACGTGGTCATCTTTATCGCCTGAGGTGGAAACTGTTCTGGATCTTTTCCAGATTTCTCTGCTATCGAACTTCTTCAGGTCAAAGATCGACAACATTCTCTCTTCGCTCCTCTATAGCTGCTTGAAGAGGCTTTACCATGGCAGCCTTCTGTGCCAGCTCTGCTAGGCTAGCTCTACCCACCCTTCTGCGCAACGTTTATCGCTCCGAGTTTGCCTCTGAGCTTCATTCCTCCCGTCCCGTCTCTCTGCGTCAGGTGTCTTACTCCCATCACCGTTTTAGCAATGGCCGGAGCTTCGCTTCTCTCTCGAGGCTACTGGCTTCTCAACCAGGATCGCACGTGAACTCACAGCCATCTTCGCTACCAGCCATCACTGAATCAAGTTCAGAACAACTAGATGCCGCTGGGGACGGTTCTGTTGGTGGAGCGCCTGCAAAGGATGCAGCAGACCATCGTGATCGGCGGGACCCAAATAAACCTGCGAGAAAGACGAAGATGGCGAAGTTTGCATCATCATCGCAAGCAGAACCTGATGCAACCTCACTCAAATCCTCTCGCGATAAGAAACACGCACGCAGTGATCGTACCTCCCCGGATTACAAACCTAAGAAGAAGAAGGAGCACTGGCAAGTTCAAAAAGATGCCTTGAAGAAGAAATTCAAGGAGGGATGGAATCCATCTAAAAAACTTTCGCCCGACGCTCTTGAGGGTATCCGCCACTTACATGCCGTAGCTCCGGACAAGTTTACGACCCCTGTCCTTGCCGAGCAATTCCAGGTATCACCGGAAGCCATCAGGCGTATTTTAAAAAGCAAATGGCGTCCTTCCGAAGCAGAAATGGAGGACAGGCGCAAGCGATGGGAGAAGCGGCATGATCGAATCTGGAGTCATCTATCGGAGCTAGGCCTCCGACCGAAAACAAAACGCACAGAGGCCTTAGACGATTCAAACATACTGTATGGTAAGGGCGAAGAAGGCAACAAACCGTCAGAGTAATCTGTTGTCGTGCTCAGAGAGTCATGAAAGCATTGTGCATATTGAAGAGATAAGTAATACAGCTAATAGTACATAATAACACCCAAAATTATTATTACTGTTTCTCTTTTTATTCTCTTCCTCCCTGTCTCTGTTTTCGTTTTCTTTTTTGTTTTATTTTTGTCTTCTTTTTCCTTTCTCCTTACCCCATGGTCTTTTGAAATTGCTGGCATTGTGCAGAATGCCTGAATTACTTGGCTCCATAATTAATGTGTCCCTTTTGCGGAGACACGTTTTACCAAGTGATTCTTCTGTATCACGTAAAACAAGCCCTATTGTTTTTTTTAGGTTAAATTCTACGGATATGAAATAAAATAAAAATAAGTAACATAAAACCTCTTCATCCGGAGCATTTCATAGACACATGCATTATCAACCCCAACCGAAGCGACTAAAAAACAGGGAAAAGTCCCCGTTGGACTATAAACGACGCTAACCTTAAAGTGTCTGACGGTTACTCTCAATTGATTTGGCCGACAAGGTGCATGCAACGCGACTCTGGCCCGTTCATTCACGCAGTTTTCTTTTTGTTTTTCTTTTTCTCTTTCCCCTCGTTCTCTCGCTTACGATGGCTCATCCAATTTGACAGCATGGCATAACCGGCTATTGCCAATTGTTTCCCCGCCTATCCTATTCATTTACGTACCATATCGGCGGCGTTAAACGGAGGAGAAGCGGACACCCTCTGGTGGCGGCTGTTGGTACCCACCGTTTACCCCAAGCTTCTTGCTTCCTGCTGCTTTTCTCCGCCCATATGGTCACCTTGCGACCCTCGCCATGCCGTCGGACATCCAAGTCTTTGTGAAATGGAAAGATCAAACAATATTCGCCGGTGAAGATGTGGAATGTACAATAACCTTTAAGAACGTTGTGGAGGGAAATGTGGAGAGCAACAATGGCAGACAGCTCTCACCGCAGAGGAAATCGTCTCGACCGAGCAGTACCACGCCTCACTCGGACTCCTTCTCCCTGAAATCGCCGAGGAATCTATTCTCCAACCCGAATCGCCGATCCTCCACGACCGTCTCAAGGAGAAGCCCGTCCCATCGCGTTTCCTCATCGTTAAGTTCACCATTGGTCGGTTCCCATAGCTTTCCGCCTCCTTCGACACCTCGCAATGGCCCGCCCCCCAGTCACAAGCATAAGCGTTCCATTTCGATATTATCAATTGATAGCGAAGGAGGTGGGGATAGGACCCCAAAAACGTCTTCCCCCTTCACCCGCTCGAGGCCAGCCAGAGGGCATGGGCGTTCTGCGAGTTTGCAGGTGGTACCAAAGCGATTCGAAGGTTATGATGACATATTTCCCAAGGGTATGTCACTTGATTTGGCATCGGCGCTCGATTGCTCGTAACTTGCACTGACAGTGACTGTAACCTAGGTGGGCGTCATACCACGCGGGGTGTCCCACCTGAATCTCCCATGAACGTCCCTCCACAAAATCTACGAGTCGATGTGGATGCGGCGGCCAGGGCTAGTCGCTCTAGATCTGGTACGATGAGTCCGATTAAATCAGCCGAATCACCGCGGGGGCCTGCACGTCGACCTCAATTACCTCCAATGGATTTCAAGTTCCCACCTTCCGCGAGCGACACGAGCAATCCCCGACCCGGCGCATCACCAACGATACCGGCTGGAGAGCATGGCAACGCACTAATGGTGGCAAAGCCGAATGGCAAAGAGCCCTCTGCTTTAGCTGCGCCAGGTAACCTGCCGCAGCTTACCAAGATTATGTCGACGTCGAGCTTGAGTGGAAGCCATAGAAGCAGTGGCGAATTCTACTCTGTCGGGAATGATTCCTCAGAAACCTTGCAGTCAGAATACACGAATTACTCTATGACAGTCCCACGAACACCTGTCTCTCGACACGGGCGGCACATGTCCAGCGTTGACTCTGCGGCCTGGCTGCCCAATGGCCAGACGTTGCTAATGGGATATGCCCAGATAAGTGCATCGTTTACAGTGGATGGCTCACTGATCCACCAATCATCTTTTGAGGAAGTCAAGAGGAAAGGCGTAGTGGGTGACCAAGGGAATGCTGTCGGTATATCCAATGGACGGAGCGCCGCAAGCAGCGATAAGAATCGTAAAGGAGGTGGTTTCTGGGGCGCTTTTAAATGGAACGCAATAGAAGAGTCCATTAACGGTCTACTTTCCAAAAATGAGCTTGATGGTCTACGCGATATGCGAGGTGTCACCTCATCACGATCGATACCCTTACTATCCACACCCCAGTCGCTCCTCTTCGTGGATCTCCGACTAGCACCCGGAGAAGAGCAGTCCTACTCATTTTCCTTCACCTTACCCCGTGGTCTCCCAGCAAGCCACAAGGGAAAGGCCATAAAGATCTCCTATAACCTAGTCATTGGCACACAACGACCAAGTGTCCGTAATGAACCGCAGCGTGTCAACCGCATTACTATACCGTTCCGTGTATTTAGCGGCGTCGATGGTAAGTAGCTCCATATGGCTCAATAGTTCCTCTCTATG